GCATTTCTTTTTTCAGTGCTTTCATATGTCATCATTTCCCTTGAGGCTCACAGCAAACTAATAACAATTACTTGTTGAGAAGTTACAACCCACTATAAATTATGACCCTGTGAGATGGGTATTATTATCCATATTCAACAGATGAAAAACCTGAGAAAGAACTTAATGAAGGACTCACACTAAAAAAAAAACTTTAAAAAAGCATTTGTGCTGCATGATTATTTGAAGCCAGATTAGTCTGACCTGAAAGCCCTGCTCTTAGTTCGGATGCTGTATTTCCATCCATCCATCTGTCCACCTATCCAGTAAAAACTTACCAAGCACCTGTGTGTGCCAGACAGCGGTTTAGGTATTAAAAGTACAATTAAGAACAAAGCAGACAAAAATCACTGTCTTTATGTCTTTACAATTCATTTAGGGGAGGGTGATGATGAACACAATATAGTAGATGGTAATAACCGCTATGGAGAAAAATAAACCAGGAAAGAAGGGTGTGTGGGAGTGAGAGTTGCAGTTTTAAATGGATGGCCAGGGAAGAATCGAGCTGAGAGTTTGCGTGCCTGGGGGAGGGTGCCAGAAGCAAGGAACAGCAGGCCCTGGGGAAGGGGTGCTGCGCCTATGAAGCAGGCAGCTCTCAGGGCCAGAGTTAAGGGAGTGGTGTGGGACACCCAGTGTTTGTTGGGGTCAGTGAGGGATGTAGTCTTCAAAGGCCCAATTTTCTCCCCTGTGGATGGTTTGGAGTGAATGATCCAACTTCTGAATGGGTTAGCTTGCTCATTTGGGCTGCTTTAGTGCAAGTTGTAGGAGGAGGACAGGGGCAGGAGCAGGGGGACGAGTAGGGTGCTGCTGGGGTGACCCAAGTCGAGGTGACCGAAGCTTGAGTAGTATAGGAGAGTGGTGAGAAGAGACAAGATTCTGAAGAGAGACACATTCTGAAGAGAGAGTCAGGATTTGCTGGTGAGTTGGACATGGGATGTGAGGGGCAAAAGAAAAGGAATGACCTCTAAAGAGAAAAAAAAATGTGTAAACTTACTCCCATTTGGCAGATGGGAAAACTGAGGTTGGAAGAGGATAAGTGACACCCCAAAGTCATGTAGCTAGACAGTTCATAGGGCTAGGACTATTTCCCAGGTATTTTCAGTCAAAATTCCTTAGCCTTTCTGTTGTACACATAGCATCTCTCCCACCCCAGGCCTCCGGCCCCACCTGTCTGCCCCAAGCACTTGGAACCCTCTCATTTCCGCAGAGCTCAGTAAACACCAACCCATGCTGTTGGAACACTCACTGTTGAAATCTCAGGAAGCACCTCAGCCTGAACCATTTTTCTAAGTGTTTAAGATAGCCACTCAGAGATCATTCAGAGATTATATGAAGTCCATAGCCTGTTCCCAAAGAACTTTATTCTAGTACCTCCTATAAAGGTTTAGCAGTTTTTCAATGAGACCCCTTTTTCATTAGACATGTAATTTGCAGATTTGCACATTATCAACACATCATCACAGCAACAGCCAGATCTGATGACAAGGAACTCTCCTTAAGGAAAACACTGTTGAATGGATCTCTGAGGGAGAAGGTGCAGTTTTCAGGGCTTTGCTGTGGATAAGAGGCTCCAGCGCCTTTTCCTGACTGAGCTTCACTTTTGGCCAACCATGCCGACGTGTGCTAAGGAGCAGTGCCATTGGTGCCAGGCTGCGTGGGCCGGTGCTTGCTGAATTTGCAAGATTCCCACCACTGGGGCCCCCTGAAGACCAGGGGTTTATGTAAATTCTTCTTGCCCAGGATCATTAGGACATTTCAGCCATCGACCAGCCTTGTTGCGGGATGATAGTCTGGGAGGCATCTCTAAGGACTCTGGGTAGAGAAGACTTTCAGCTTTAGTGTTATATCCTTTGTAGTCTAAGGCAGACTTGTGCATGTTCAAAAAAATTATATTTGCTTCCTTCAAGATTTTCTCCCCATCCCCATCCTAACATTTACACCAGGCAAGTGCCCTAGACCAGGTAACCTCATGTTCCCTGCCTGCAAGCACACACCACACTACAGGAGGTGGAAGGCACCATGCCTTATGCAGGCTCACGTCCCCTTCTCAGATAGGATGGCCCAAATTTCTCAAGACCCCTATCCTGAACGCCCAGCACTGGGCAATAGGACCACCACCAGCTCTGTACTCCCGAGAAAAGCCCCCCGGAGAGAGAAAGTCCTGGTGTGTGGCCTCAGCCCCTGCCAGGGACGGACACATGCACATACACACAGCCGGCTCTCTGTTGCCCACCTGTCTGCACTTGCCTCACCTGCACTGTCTGCAGTGCCGTGGGCCAGGTGCTGCCTCTCTCTGTGAGGCGGTAAGTAAGCAGCGGGCCAAGAAGGCAGTGCCAGGTGTCCGGAGACCTTCCATCTGCTGCTCGACTTTGTGGTCAGGTTCAGGAACATTTGTTCGCTGCCGTTTCTTCCCCCCTCCCAAAAGTGAAAGGCAGCTCACTTTCACTTTTACCTCTAGACACAGGCCCTGGAGTTTTCTGAATGAGAAGGACATGGGAACAGGGAGGCAGTAGTAAGGTACACAAGGGTGCCAGACACTATGTGGTCCAAGCCCAGGACCTTCCTGTCCAAAGGCACCAACTCAGATGCTTAGTCATGGGCATATCCAAACTTCACTGACTGTCCCAACGTCCACACCATCCTAGGTGTGCACAGACCACCTGTTGGACTGATGGGACGCAGATATGTGACTGCTGGGTTATGCTTCACCACACAGTCGCCACCATACAAGGAAACCTAAGGGAAGGACTGGGGGAGCAGCTCTTGAGAGGAGGGTGATTGCAGGTAGGATGTGGGGTATCCGGGGTGCAGAGGAGCACTCCAGGCTGCAGGAAAGTACATGTAAAGCATGGGCCCTTTAGAGGCCTTGCATATTGGGCATTGCCAAGAGGTGCTCTGTCTAGAGCTTAGGCACAGAGGACGGCATTTGGGGGCAGTGGGGCTGGCTTGCGGATGGCACACTGGCCGTAGGCCTTCCCACCATTGCACTTTGGATGCTCCCCATATCCCTCAGCATCATCACAGTCCTGTCTGTGCTTGCAAGGAAAACTTAAAAACTCAATGCCTGAAATGTATTCATAGAGCTTGTTTTCACAATGTTTATTACTCTCCACTGTTGCAAATATTTTTCAGTAGTTTTTGCTGTTTTAGTGTATGGATTCTAGGCTCTGTTTGTAAAACGTGTTCCTTGTAAAAAGGTGTTTGCAACATCACATAGTTGAAGTGATGGGGAAAGAGGGGAGCTGTGAGGGCCTGGGGTGCAGGGCTCATGGGCTTGGGCCAGGCTAGCCATCCACGTGAGGCGCCTGCAGCATGGCTTGTCTAGGTGGCATGGGCTACAAGTGTAAAATGCCCATCAAATTTTGAAGACTGAGTACAAAATAAAGAACAGAAAACATGTCATTTAAAAAAAAAGTTGCTCTGTTTAGAAAGTAGACCTGTCCCTTCATATGAAGTTACTAGAAATTCAGAATCACAAGTCCTTGATTAAAGCAAGGGCAAACAGCTCCATCCCAATGTGGCCCCCACCAACCTTCATCCTTCTCACCACACTGGCTCCTCACTGACTTCATTTTCTCCTTAATTTTCCCAGTAACTTGGAGTTTCTCAAAACACTACAGATCGCTTCTTCCTTGCTCCAGATATCAGCTCACCTGATACCATTCTGAGTGTCACCAGAATGGAATGACATCATTCTGAGTGTCATTCCCCACAGTTGTTTCTGCAGTTTAGTGCCTCTGACAACTCACTCCAGTGAGCCGACGTTCCCATCAGGTTCCCAGGACCCAGCCTCTGCCCGCCAGCCCTGCTCCCACCACACTCACTGCCATCCCCACAGTAACTCTCTTCTAGTGACTTCTAGCTCTGAATCAAGGATGCTAGCAACTTGGCACACATTATCTCATTTAATTCTCCAAAAATAAAGAAAATATGTTTTATAGCAGAAGAGTGTAAAGCTCAGAGAGATAACATTGCTTGGTTAGGGTCTCATGCCTTCAGAGGGGCAGGGTTGGAATTCAAACCAGGCCTCTGGGCCACTAAGCCTTGCTCTCTCTCTGTGGTGTCAGGGATCTCTCCTCAAAACCTGTCGCTCCCTTACCCAACCCCGAAGAGCAACCCCACTGTCTACTCTAGCTCTTTAAGTCCCCAACAGTACACAGCAACCTCACTTCTCCAGTCTCATCTTTCATTAAATGTGCTGCTGTCCACACCCCATGTGCTTTAGATCTAGCCACAGTTCATTCCATGAAGGCTTTCCCTGTTCTTTTCACAAGGGATGCTCTGTTTTTCTTTAAAATCCCCTTCTTTGAGGACAGATTAGCCTTGTGAGAGTAGCCCACTATGTCAGGAAAGAAAATCTGAATACCAAGGTGGCTAATCCAAAATGTTATACCCGTGCTTAAAGTCTCTCTCTTTTTTTGGTAAATTCCTAAGTCTGATATTGTGAGTGGAAAACCAGTAAAAATGACTACATGTTGTCACTTAATGATACTTAATGGTTTTAGTAGTGCCACCACCTTGCAGGTAGAATATGGAAGCAGAACACATCTTAAAAAATGATTATATTTTTCATTTTCTTTTCCTCCTCAACTTTATCAACACATTGCTTAGAAACATTATTTATATTGCTGATGTCCACTTGGCAGCACAGATTTCCATCCAGACCCCACCTAGTTTGCTCGTGTCCTACCTCGTGGAGCTGCAAGTGTTAGCACCGGCAGCTCCTCTGGAGCTCTCCCCATCTTGCTCAGTGTGACCTTAACCCCGGCTCCTTTGACCATTGACTGCTACCTTTGGAGTAATAGATCAGTAAAAACTTCCTAATGATTTCTTATTCTGGGTAGGATTAAAATTATTATTTTGTTTTGGAGGGGGGCTGTGTTCTCCGTCGTCATTTATTGTCATTTAAAGTTTTTTGTTAGCTGTGTCTTTTAAACCATGCCATCACTTGTTTTTTCAAGTTTCCTCAGATGGTGGCACTGAGTCTTCTGCCTTAGTGGATGACAACGGCAGCGAGGAGGACTACAGCTATGAAGACCTCTGCCAGGCCAATCCCAGATACCTGCAGCCGGGTGGGGAGCAGCTGGCCATCAATGAGGTACTAGAGTTCCACACAGTGACGGGCTGTGGATGCCCGATTTCCAGGGTCCAGCATAAGTTCAGACTTTTCTCTCTGCTTATTTCTTACTAAACATATTCTAAAACTTTGAACTTTGACTAGACAAACACTGAGTTTCTGCCATTTTCAAGGACAACTTAGGTGATTAAGTTCCTCCCTTTACGTGATAAGAACAGCAGTCATGGGTAGTGGTCGGTGCTGTTCCGTTTCTGACATTCTCCCCCTTTATCCTAAACCTCACAGCTGATCTAAGAGGTAAATGTTACAATGATCATCCATATTTTAATACACACTGAACTTAAGAGGCTAAATTACTTGCTGGCAAATGGCAGAACTGGCATTAACTACACCTTTCTCACTGTGAATCTGGCATTCTTTCTGTCAGTCTGCATCTTTAGACTTTTTTGCAGAAACCTTTCTTTTATAAAAGGCACTGCTAGCCTTCGGAGTTCTTGAGCAGAGTGTGTGGAGGGTGACTGTCTCAGTGAGCCCTTCCTCATTAGCACGGGTGCTCTAGATTCTGGTGGTGTGTCTGGGAACTGAGCAGATAGCAGTCCCGCCCCTGCGGAGGGCTCAGATGGGCTCTGCCTGTTCTTCACCATGCTGTGTTCTCTTTGATGGCAGTAAACTGTACAGTTAGATACAAAGTTTATTCAAATCATAAATAAAGTACGAAGAGTAAGTTCTGGGTGAAGCTGAGGGTCTTACAGCTCAGTATGAGCGTGGCCTTCAGAGGCTGGGCTTAGCCACATCTTGCTTGGCTGCTCAGAAACCATTTTGGAGAGAATATTTGAGATACTTGAATTTGTTAGTTAACTGATCTACAGATAATGTGAGCTGTTTATACATTTTTTAAAAAGTGGGTTTGGGCTTTCCTTTAAAAGCATGTGAGAACGGCTCACCTGCTTCTCTTTTCCCTTGCATGTTTTCCTCTGTTCATTTTGTATGACAATCAGGAAGTACTGACCAAAGCCGTTGGTGCATGTAAACGAGAACCAGGAGGTGTGCGTCTGACCCTGAGACAGCACACAGACCCCCTCCCTGTTCTGCCCACCTGGCTTCTGCACTGAGCAACCCGCCTTCTCCCTTCCAGCTGATCAGCGATGGCAGTGTGGTGTGTGCGGAAGCTCTGTGGGACCACGTGACCATGGATGACCAGGAGCTGGGCTTCAAGGCAGGAGATGTCATCCAGGTTCTAGAAGCCTCTAACAAGGACTGGTGGTGGGGCCGGAGCGAGGACAAGGAAGCCTGGTTCCCTGCCAGCTTCGTCAGAGTGAGTGGCAGCACTTTCCACTTTCACAGATGTCTCTGGGGAGCGGCTGAGTGGTTCCAGCCAAACTCACTCTTTGTACAGATTCAGTTCTTTGTCGTCATTTTAATCGAACCTTTTAGAAATTCAAGCGGGTTGAAGGAAAACTTTTAACCAGTTGTTTGGCACTGCTGATGTGTTTAGAGCCTCTGGCGCCATGTGGCTCTGCCAAGTACATAGGGCAGGTGAGGGTCAGGCTGCCTCCCTTACTGGGCGTGGGGAAGTGGAACCAGGGAGGCCTCCCCGGGTCACCTGTCCCCCGTGTGTGCCTGCAGCTGCGAGTCAATCAGGAAGAGCTGTCAGAGAATTCCAGCAGCACCCAGGGTGAGGAGCCGGAGGAGGATGCTGGCAGAAACCGCCATAAACACTCAGAGAACAAGCACCAGATGAGGACTAACGTCATCCAGGAGATCATGAACACGGAGCGGGTGTACATCAAGCACCTCAAAGACATCTGTGAGGTGAGACACCAGACGTGTGGCCTCACTGAGGTTGTCGCATGGTTCTGTGACAGGCCCCTATGGTTTTCTTCTGTCCCCAGTCAGACCCTCCTATTTACACAGTTTTCTAGATCCCTCATTTCCCCTCATGGCCTCCTACTCCTCAGGTCCCTGCATAGACCGCTCACTCGTCAAGTTCACGTCTGCCCTGGTGAGCATAAATGGCTATCCACCCTGCCGTTGCAGCCGGTTCTCTTCTTGGGGCGCTATGCCGCTCTCTCGTTCAGGGCTGGACTCTGAGATCATTCAGGGTGAGTGACTGTCAGAGAAGGCAACACCCTGTAAGTGAAACCCTCTGGACTTGACAGAGAATCGAAGGTTCCTCACTGTCTACAGCCCCACTGCCTCTAATCACTGTTGCCCAGATGAGATTCTGAGTCATTTAGATGTAGACAAAAACGAACAAACAAACAAAAAAAAAAACTGGTTTTATGGAGTGATAGCCAAGGCTACATTCTACAGCATCACGATAATTCTGCTGTGCAATACATTTCATTTCTCCGGTGATGTTTTTCATTTTTATGGGTTTTGTGTGAGCATTTCACTAAACTGTAGTTGGCCCTGGTGCACATTCCAGCGGTGCTGGCTCTGCGTGCTGACCGCTGCACGCCCCACTCAGCTGTGACGACTCAGCACTGAGGACGAGCGGCAGGGAGACAGCGGCACAGTTGTAACTGGACTAACTGGCCAGATACAGTATGACCAGTGTTAGCTGATTTATACCAACCATCTTTTTCTGTATAAATACATGGCTAAGGGAGTTTCTTTAAAGTAACATTTTAGGAAAATAAAAGTAATTGCTAATAATGGTTGAGCATGGATTATGTGCTGTCCCTTTACCTGAATCAGCTCATTTTACTCTCACAACCCTCCCACTAAGCAGGACCACTTAGCCCCGTTTCATAGTTGAGGAACCTGGGAGCTGAGACGTTAGGAGGTGGGGGTGGGGCTTAAACCAGGCAGCCTGCCCCAGAGCTCATACCCTGGACCTTTACATTGTCTTTCTGATAAAATTCATACCAAATAGTCGGTGGTGTGAACTTTACCATATAGTCAGTCTAGTCTGTAATTACATGATGCTACTTTGGAAATAATTATTACATATATTTATGGCTTTTCCTTCCTACCCCACTAACTTCTACCTGAGGCATAGTACAAACAGTGTGTGTAATTAATAGTTTCTAACTAGGGCAGGCCTCGTGTTAGAGATCAACATATTTATGCTGTACATAAACCGTAGGTGATGGTAGAATCCTGGGGGAGATGCTCTTGCCTCTTGGCTCTTGGCTCGGACAGTGAGCAGAGCTGTGTGAGCTGTTTAGCAAGCGATGAAGTTCCGTATGTGACCAATCTTCTCAGCTGTGGAATAAAATTAGGGATAGGAGAATGATTATCTGAAGAGTTTAGAAAAAGTGCAACAATACCAATGTTTGAGCTACTATTTGAAACCAAACCACTTGTTTCATGAGTATAAGCTGTAAACTTTAATGGTTTCTTGAATGATAAACCTAGCCCCACATATCTGTTCTTTTTCCTTTTGTTTAAAAAATATGGCACATTAATAATCATGAAAGTATGATTATCCCATCAGAGACCCATAGAAGTTAAAATAATTTTCTCTAATTAAAATCTATTCTAAGACAATAGCTTTGGACCCCAAATACTATGTTATTAAAAAAAAATTCGATGAGTTTCCAAATCAGTTCTTTACAGCTCACTTTCCCTTTTGCAGGGCTATATACGGCAGTGTCGCAAGCATACGGGAATGTTTACTGTTGCACAATTAGCCACCATTTTTGGAAACATTGAAGACATTTACAAATTCCAAAGAAAGTTCCTGAAAGACCTTGAGAAACAGTATAATAAAGAGGAACCTCATTTAAGTGAAATAGGATCCTGCTTTCTTCAACATGTATGTCACCCGTCGCTTCTTTATTCTTAACGTCCGGTTACATAATTTTGAAATGTTTCCTCACTAAAAATATGAGTTCTTTTTGAGCTGTGTTTGCTTACTAGATTAATTTCTCATAGAATGGAGATGTCACTTGTAAATTAAGTTGATTGGTTTATATGGTTAATCTTTAGCTAAATACCGAAGTCCATTTTTCCAGAATCATCCCACTTTTATGCAGTTTGGGGTACTTTTTAATAATTCCTATTAATTGTCTATTATATGTTAAACACTATTTTCAGGGTTTTGTTAGCTTTTATGCTGTTGTGAGATAGGTATGCTTATTGTCCTCAATTTACAAAGATGAGGAATCTGAAGCCCAGAGAGTCGCCATCCCTGGGTCACACATTAGTAAGTGGCAGGTGGGAATCCAGACTGAGGCGTGTGGTTCTGGGACCCATGCATGTGCCTGCTGTGTGATGATGGCATGAGCGTATCATTTAACTGATTAATGGCTACCACTATTTAATTATAAAATACTTCAGAGGAAGAAGATTTTATTCTCAGCCAAAATGGCCAGGGCATAATAGTAATAGCAGCAAGGACACCCACCACCACCACCCCCTCAGGCAGCACTCTGTGGTTGCTGGACCCAATAGCTTCATAGAGGCAGTAGAGTGGAGCAGGTCCCCAGGGTGGTTGCTTTCAAATAGCTGAAAATGCTGTGGGGGTAATGAGGTGGGAAGATTGACCCTGTGAGGCCCAAGAACTGGGGCCTAGGGCTGCTCCTGGAGCGTGGAGGAAGGGAGGGAGGTGCACACATGATGAGGGTTGGAGAGAGGGAAGGAGTGGGCTCTGCAGAGGTCAGGAGAAGGGTGGGTATCATGGAGAGAGCTGGCCGCAGCCTGGAAGTGACCCGAAGGGCAAGGAGGTGAGCGGACGGCTTACCTTTGGGGGCTGGAGGGTAGCATGCATGTGGAAGCCAGGCGTTGGGACGTCAAGGAGAAAACTTGTGGTAAGAAGGCAGAGGCTTTGAATCCTCACCTTTCAGTCATGGTCAAGGAGTTTATCAGGGAAAGAAAGGAGTGAGTTGACCTTCTCTTAGATCAGAAACAGGGTGAGGAGGGTGTCAGCAGAGAATGCCATTCTTCTGGGGAAGCCCGGTGCACCTGTGGCACACCCTTTACCAGTGACATACCCTTTCAGTCTGTGGAAGGCTGCCTGGAAGGGCACTGGGGCTCTGAGTCCTAGAGCAGGCTTTCCCTGCACCCCCTGGAGAGTCTGCAGATGGCCGCTTCCCACAGAGGACATTGGGCCTCTCACACAGGCATGAAAAACATTACAAAAGGACTCAGGGTGCCACGTCCCTCCTCCCAGGAATGCCCCTCACATAGAACGGGCTGTTACCCACTGTTGTCTAGCCCACAGCCACCCGTAGCCTGAGGATGCTTGCTTTCTCCTCCCCAGCAAGAGGGCTTTGCGATCTATTCTGAGTACTGTAACAACCACCCCAGAGCCTGCACTGAGCTGTCCAGCCTGATGAAGCAGGGCAGGTACCGGCACTTCTTTGAGGCCTGCCGCCTGCTGCAGCAGATGATCGACATTGCTATTGACGGCTTCCTGCTCACGCCGGTGCAGAAGATCTGCAAGTACCCGCTGCAGCTGGCGGAGCTGCTCAAGTACACCACACAGGAGCACAGGTGAGAGAGAGGCCACGTGGGAAGCCAGGTCCAGTCTCCCCATGGAGTGCTGGGTCCCTCAGCTCTCCCCAGAGCCTCCCCGGGTGTCAGAGGCAGACAAGCTCAGGTGTCAGGCTTGTCACTTTCAGTACCTCTATGGGAAGGAGTGTTCAGATTGTATAGAATGTTAAAGTTATTTACACTGAGCAAAGCTTGAATGTGAAAGTTTTTAACGCTGGACATCTCAGCCTGTGTGTAGATGGGGCTGTAGTTTCCTTTTTTTCAGTATTAGAGGCCTTGAGAACAAGGGCCTGCTGGGGGCAACATTTTAGTTTGATTTGACTGTAGCATATGGAAAGTGCCAGAAACAAAGATCTGCTGATGAGGTAAATGCCACATTAGCATTTACATAACTTACTCTGTCAGCCTTCTGTGGCTTGTGTCCTCTGGTGTCCTTGTCCAAGCCATGTGAAAGATGGGACTCAGAGCAAAGTATCACTCTTGAACACGGTTAGTGGTTATTAAAGTACTTCCTGTAGCAAAACCGGCTATATCAAAATGAAAGCAATGATAAAGATTGTCCCTTCTTCAGTAATGAAAGTCATTCATTGTCACTGTGATTAAAACATTTCTTGTGGCATTTACTTTCATTCATGGTAAGTTCTGGGAGATGAAGGACAACATTCTTATCTCAAAGAATTCTGGATTGCACTTGGTCTGTTCCCTTAACCTATGCAGACTATAGCCTATTCATGGAGGAACAAGGAGAAGTAAACAATGGCTATTGTTTAAATGTCACATTGTCTAGACTATTAGTATACAAATCAGGGATGGAGTGCATTATTTTGTCAGTCTTCATTTTCAAGTTGTGTATCATGGTTAAAATTAACCTCCCATTTTTCAGTGATTACAGTAACATAAAGGCAGCATATGAGGCCATGAAGAACGTAGCCTGTTTGATCAATGAGCACAAACGCAAACTGGAAAGCATAGACAAGATAGCGCGGTGGCAGGTGTCCATTGTAGGCTGGGAGGTAAGTGGCCCACATACCCCTAGTACACATACACATCGTCCATCACCGCTCACACCCCCCCACCCCCGCCACACACACCTCTGGTATACTTGAATGACATACTTTAATGTCCTATGATTGACACTTTATACTCATGACTGTATGGTACACAGAATTCCTCTGCTATTCTAAATTAGAGCCTTCCTATGAAACCTTTCATATGCTGAAATGGTACAAAGCCAAAGACCAGTACCTTGGGACACCTCCTGCTGATGGATGCACAGAATAAACTGAGATAAAGCACAGATGCTCACAGACACAGCCCAAAGCTCTTGCAACTCAGTGCTGAGACACTGAGTGTGGTTCCCAGGGAAGGAGCTTCATGGGGCCGCTCTCACTGCTCAGGGTGCCACTGCCTCTATAACAGCTGCTGCAAAACAAATGCTGAACTCTTTTTACTTCTCACCTTTTTTGATAAAAATGAAAATTCTCCTTGGATTTTTTTCAGTTAGCAAAAACAGGTACTAATGTAGGTCTTTAGTAAAAAAGTGGTATAAAGAGAACTTTTGAAAAGCAGAGGATACCTATATACATTTTGAGGCATATCATTGAACTTAAGTCTACTACTTTATCTCGTACCTCCACCAAAAATAGTCTAAAGAGTGTTTATAATTAATTTATTGCCTATGCCTCCTCTCTCCTGCAAGAGAGTAAGCTTCATGAGAGCAGCTGGAGAACATTTAAAATGCAAATGATTGTGTGAACTGTGGAGCTGCTTGGGCTGCCTGTGTGTAAGCCCTCTGTGGACTGGGGACAGTCAGTGTTTTCATCTACATGGTGGAGCGGAAACTGTTACCTAACTCATAGGGCTACTGTAAGGATTAGAAGACTGCAGATGCAGGGCTTAACGCAGCCTATAATAATGGCACATGCGCACGTGCACACATTTATTAATTTATGAAAACAAGCAAGGATGATATCAGCCTGCATCATGTTTACCACATGCCTAACACTGGTCTAAGCCATTTATATGTGGGAACTCATTTAATCCTCTCAACAGTCCTATGAAGTAGGGGTTACTACCCCCATTTACCAGATGGGGAAACTGAAGCACAGAACAGTTAAGTATCGTGTCCCAGCCACAAAGCTAGGAAGTGGCTGAACTGGATTCAAATGAAGGCAGCAGCCTGGCTTTGGAGTCTGTGCTGGTAACCACTAGGCTCTATGGCTTTATTAAGAACAAAGTTGATGCTGTTCATATGGCTTTTAGCACAAGCAAGATTCATCCTACATCAAACTGATTGGTCAAAACTCACTGTCCTGAAGGACTGTGAAAGTTTGGGTTGAGAAGTTAGGTTTTTAACTAAAGTACATAATAGTGGTAAAAATTGGAAAGAAATACTTGTATTTCAAGGGCCTTATAGAGTTTTGGAGCTTGGAGATCCCTGAGTATAACTCTCTTATTTTGCAGGTGAAGAATATAGTACACAGAATTGCTCTAGGCAAGTAAATAGCAGAAGCATTTTGAAGTTAGAGCATTTTCCTACCAAAAAAAAAAATAATGTGTATGACTGAGATTAAAGGAGAATAAAATCTTTAATTTACAAAATTAAAAGCCAATGCCATACCAAGTACCATAAAGTTCCATTGGGTTAGACCCAACCTGACTATGATAAAAGTGTGGTTTCCTTGAGTTCTTGGGCTCTGGCACTTAGCAGATAATTTATCATCAGAAGTTTACCAATTTCTTGCTGGTAATATGCCATCTGGCCTTTTGTTTCTGAAGACCCTAGTTAGTTATTCCAGGGGAGCTGCTCTACGCCTGCCTCGGAGCCAGAGCGCCCGCAGTGCGGCATCCACACACAGACCTGCCTGAGGTCCTCGTTCTCCCCGGGTCGGCCTGGGCCAGCTGCCGTGCCAGATCGTGGTCAGACTCTGTTAATCCGGCAGGCTCTTCACCAATTTTCTGACAAAAGGAGACTTCAGATTACATAGAGGCACTGCGACAGTTTCCCACTGAGTAGGAAAGAAACATAAGAAATATCACACACAAGAAGACTAATAAACCAAGGTTTTAAATGGTCTTTGAGGTTCTGGCCACCGGTGAATGGGCCTCAGGCAGCTGGAAAATCTGGGGAAGATTCTGGGCCAGGCCTTGTCCTGTATCCGTAACACCTGAAGGTGTGGAGACTGGAAAGTCTTACAGTGTGTTCTTTCTCATCTTCCAGGGACAGGACACTTTAGACCGAAGCTCAGAACTGATCCATTCTGGGGAGCTAACCAGGATCACTAAGCAAGGGAAGAGCCAGCAGCGGACATTCTTTCTGTTTGACCACCAGCTGGTGTCCTGCAAGAAGGACCTGCTGCGCAGGGACATGCTCTATTACAGGGGCCGTGTGGACATGGATGACATGGAGCTAGTGGACCTAGAGGACGGGCGGGACAAGGACTGGAATCTCAGCCTGAAAAATGCCTTCAAGCTTGTCAGCAAAACCACTGATGAAGTTCATCTGTTTTGTGCCAAGAAACAAGAAGACAAGGCGAGGTGGCTGCAGGCTTGCAAGGATGAAAGGAGACGGGTGCAGGAGGACCGGGAGATGGGTAAGCAGCACCTCAGTGCCACGGGGTGTCATTGGCCTCTGTTTTCGAGCCTCACCCTCCAGCCTTCTCCCAAAGAGCTAAACCCCACACTTCAGAAAAGAGAAGGATTTGCGAATTGTAAATATTTCTAAACTTGCTTGCAAGACAGGCCATGACAGATGTAGTTACTACTAGCAATATTTATGTGCCAGAGCTGTGCTCCACATTTGCAGAGATTGTCTCATTTAATTTCAAAAGGTATTATTTCTATACCCATTTTATAGATAATATATATAATTGAGGCCAAGGCCTTTGCCCACTCTCACATGATGACCAAGTGACATTTAGAACCATCTCAGTGTGCCCAGGAGACTGAGTCACACTCTGGTGACCGTCACCCAGGCCTTGAGAAATATAAGGTGATCCTTGAGGCTTCCTCTTCAGCTGTGCCTTTAAAGCACTTTAAATTTACCTTGCTGTCACAGTCCATTCCGGCCCCATACCTGCCTGCATATTCCCCATCTCAGCCATGAAGCCTCCTGTGCTGCAGTGAAATCCATGCCCAGGATTGCCCTGGTCTCTGCAGCTCTGCTCCCCTCCAGGTATTGACTGGCCTATGAGATGCACCATCAAGCCTATTATTTACAGTGGGAGCACCCACAGTCTCTGAGCTGAGGTAGTGCCTCCCAGCACAGTAGGGTTTGAGCACAAACTGTTGAATGGAAGTCAGGATGCCACAGGGACCATGGACCTCTAGAGATGAGGTAGGATGAAGGATGCTCACCTCTGCAGCCCTTCTGGGACCAGACCTCAAAGATGGTGTGGTGCAGGATGCAGGAGAAGGCTCTCCCCTTTCATTTCCTGGTCCACTGCCGTGAGGAAGGCTAGAATAAAACCAGAAGGTACTGTGTTGGCCCCCACCATGGCAAGTGTCACCAGCACCAGACCCAGGCTTGGCCATGGATGGCGCTCTCACCCACAGGAGGTTTTGTGGGATCATGTATTAGAGTAGAAAGGGCTCTACAAGTCGTCAGGCTGACTTGCCATCAGAAGCAAGAATCTCCTCTGAAACATTCTTAACAGGTGAGCACTGGCTCGTACCTTGACCTCTAATGGCACAGAGACCACTGCTCACAGGTGGCCCCTTCTACTAAGTGAAAGTATCCTTTATTCTAAGAGGAAAGCTGATCCCCAGCAACTTCCATGTATTGATGCAGGTTTTGACTTTTGGGTCTCATTGGAATAAGGTTCATCACTCCATCATGCCAAGAATTCTTCAGATAGTTGAAGGTCACATAAATTCAGATGCAAAATGAGAGATCCACAAAATCCTGATTTGTACCTGCCATGTAACATTGTCTGGTGCAGGCCTTGAAATCATTTCTAATTTAGAGTACTTTGGCTTTTCCTCAGATAAAACCAAATATTTAAAGGGCATTCTAAATACTCTTCAACTCCGCCCCTTAGCAGGAGAAACAAGAAGAGAACTGATGTACCTCTGCAATTCAGTGCCTGTGCTCACAGCTAGTGCTCAGAAGACAGACAGGAATGAGTGAATGAATGAATGAATGAATGGCTGCACGCAGCACTCTTGGAGCCATTGAATCTGTGATGTGGGTGTGAGTGGATGAAAATGTTGTGTCAGCCTAGGTGCCCAATACACGACATGTGGGATCATTATGCCATTAGCCAGGCTGGGCTCAGAGGATGGGAATGAGGCGTGGGCCTCAGAGCAGTAGAAGCCAGGGGTCAGTGGACAGAGCCTGAAGGAGATGATAGGACCCATTAGGGACTGATATCAGGCATGCCAAGGAGCCAGGGTGCAGGGAGCAGAGTGTTCAAAGGTAGAGGGTGAGCCTTGGCGAGTGGCCCCAGGTAGCAGAGGCATAGCCCAGTTCTCCTTCCCCAGGAGGAAGCCTTGCCCAGTGTGGCAGTGTGAGCCTCCTCCGCCTCTGTCCTTGCCTCTCTCCTCACGCTCCCTATAGTTGGAGTAACCCAGTTCCCATCACTCAAGTATTACCTGTGTTAGGGGGAGGCATAGCCCAGTTCTCCTTCCCCAGGAGGAAGCCTTGACCAGTGTGGCAGTGTGAGCCTCCTCCGCCTCTGTCCTTGCCTCTCTCCTCACGCTCCCTATAGTTGGAGTAACCCAGTTCCCATCACTCAAGTATTACCTGTGTTAGGGGGAGAATAAAACTCACTCAGCTTCCACAGCAGGTAGGTGAGCAGAACTGGGGGCCCCTTTGATTTGTCTTCTCCTCCCAGAGCCTTGTCCTGTAGGGAGGTAATTGGGGTGACTCCAAATGAACTCTTGCCTGGGTTTACACAAGTGGTCAGTGCCTCCTTACCAACAGCACTCCGTCTCAGTCTTTCCAGGGTCCTGGTTTAGAAAATAATTCTGTGGCCATCCTTGTGATAATTATTGCTCCTTCTGTTTCCTTTTCCAGTCTTTTCATCCTCTCCTAGGTCCTCTAGGATTAAGGTTCTTTGCTTCAGGTTATGATGAATACCTCAAGGGTAATATGGGTTAAGGCACAAGTTTTATTCTAAAATGTTTTCACTTGTTTTGAATACATATTACCTTTGTTTCTAAATCCAGGAATGGAAATTTCTGAAAATCAAAAGAAGCTTGCCATGTTAAATGCTCAAAAGGCAGGACATGGAAAGTCAAAAGGTGAGTTCTACAGATGCCTCCATCTCTGTAAAGTATATCAGTTTTGGAATTAAAACCAGGGACTCTCTGTTCTGAGGGGATGATGGTATCATTACTAGTCTGAGGCACATCAACCCCTCCTGCATCTTTTGGGCACATGAGGAGGAAATCGCCAACCCCAACTGCGTGTCCACTGTAAGCTACATTCTTATTTAAGTAAGAAAAAAGATCTAATGTTCATCACATCATACGATGAGTTAAGGAACAGGAAGACACACTAGCTTATTTAGAGCCAGGGTTCTCTGTCCTCTCTGCTCATCAGAAGGACCTGGGCAGCTATTTAAAAATATCAGTGCCCAGGGCACACACTGCAGGGTCCTGATGTGCAAGCCAAGACTGTGCTCACGTAGGTGATACTGATACTCTAGCTCAACAGAAATACTGAAGGTCTTTATTCCAAAAATATTATATTTTTGTAAAATTAATTCAGATTGACTCCAAGAGGTACTCACTCACCCTATGATGTTTATCTATTCAGTATTTTCCTAACTGAAAATACAAAAACACAGATCAGTTCAGCCTAGGACTGTGATAGGCTGTCAACTGCTACACCAAGAATTCATTACCAACACCACACTCATAACTTTCCTGCTCCCTCCACTCAAATGCAGAAATCCTCCCCCTCCCCCAAGTCATAAACATGTTCAAGGCAGAAAAATCCACTGTGTATTCTTTTTTGACATCTCCACTTTTACTGGCAGGTGACCAGTAAATACCAGTGTGTTAGAAAGTATTTGTTTCTGTATCTTGTAAGAGTCACTAGCTTAGCAAGTAGCCTCTGAAGAATGGAATGAATGATCACCTTTCAGGCGCTTTCATGAGCTACCTCATTTCCTCCTCTCTCATCCTGGGAGACGAGGAAGGCCTAGTAGTAGGGATGGATTCTGGACAGAGGTCCTGGCTCCTTCCAAACCCACACTCTTTCCTCTTACCATGCTGACTTTCACAGTTACTGTGTGGTCTTGTAGCTAGTTTCAATAAGCCTTTTTAATGACCTCTGCACAAATTTAAAATGCTGACTCTAATACAATAGTTTTGATTACAGTGATTAAGTATTGGGGGGCACTATTCTAGGTATACTGCTTCTGTTAACCCATGTAATTCTCACAACCCAGCAGGTACCATTGTCCCTACCTTAGATTTAGGGAACTGAGACACAGAAACCAAGTAATTTCCCAGTAATTACAGCTAGTAAGTGACAGAGCAGGGTCTGGGCTGAGGCAGTATGTTGTCGGTTGTCATCCCGAATAGCAGTTCAGCTCTAATCCTGCCACTTACTGTGGTGTGACCACAGCGATTCCCATACGCTTTCTGGTTTGTGTCCTTCCGGTCACGCTGCTCTAATGATCCCTTCCTGGGATGATTTTTGTGAGGATTCAATGAGGTAATCTACACCACACGTCCACACATACTATGGGCTGAATGTCTTATAACAGCCATCAGTTGTGCTTTCGATTAGTGTGAATTGAAAATCAGCTAAGAACTCGAGTCTTGGCACTGGTTGTTTTTTTCCCTCTTCGGCTGATAAGTGACCCTCAGCCCATGTGCTATCTTTCTCCTCTCGAGTTAGGCTACAGTGGATGCCCTGCCGCCCCACCACACCAGAGCTTGCACCCCATTCATCAGCGCCACATCACCATGCCCACCAGCGTCCCTCAGCAGCAGGTGTTCGTCCTGGCAGAACCCAAGAGGAAGCCTTCGCTGTTCTGGCACACATTCCATAAACTCACCCCTTTCAAGAAATGAAAACAGGGAGGGCTGCACTTCAACTGTGCACAATCCAAGGACAGTCTTTGGACCCAGTGCTGAAAACTTCTTTTGGGGATGAATAACAGAGAAGGACTTGGACTCGCCTTCAGTCTTCAGAGACACAGCTGCCTCCTTGGAAGGGGGAGAAGGTGGTGATTCTTTCACGTACACAGGAACCCTCTGTGACCTGTGCCAAGGCAGCCAAGACTGAGGACCTGGTGACATACTCTAAAGTGAGTGCTGAGCAGAGGGCCCTGCGAGCCTCACTGGTGATGAGTGCTGTGCGCAGCCCAGGTCCAAAGTGCCATGAATAAGGGCAGGATGGTGTGGTGCTTTTGCATTTGATTTGAAGGCAATGGTAGTCCTGGGATTGGGACAATACTACCTGTCGCTGGCATGGGTAAGCCGCATCTCTCTTCCATGGTATTAGGAAGGGACTTACTGCAGATGTGGTGTCCCGGGTGTCATCTGAACCTACACATTTGCCACTGTGGTAGTGCAGTCTTCATCCTGCCAGGTTCCTCTCCCCTACAGGCTGGAGGGGGAAACAGGATGAGCCTGTTGTGTGGCAGGGAGGTCTGCAAGGAAGAGTGACTTCAGTCTCCTAATGGTAAAGCTGTTTTCCAGAGAGGGAGGGAGGCAGAGGAAGTCCTACATGGGCTAGATTGGCCCTTCTCAAGTCAGGTACACTTCTACGCACATGCAGTGTGTGACTCCATGACCAGAAACCATGTCTACTCACACATCATAAACTAAAACTATTCAAACATATCCACTTGCAATATAAAAACCCATTCATTTTAATTTTATGGTAAAGTGAGTATGCGAATGCACCAATCAAAAGGCATTCTCACTCCATCAGTTATTCCTGGTACCCTTAATAATTAAGCTATAATGGCATTTACATTCCCCTGAGAAAGCAGGAGCTTCTGAGCAGTCCGGCTGTGGATGTGGAGCCCACTTGGTTGCATGAACCCAAATAGCAGTGCTGACCATGCCACTACTAGCATGTCATCAGGTTTCTCAAGAGTCCCTCTTTATAAAAGAGAACTTAACAAAATATATCTAGACTCAGAGAGAGCAGTCTTTTTTTAATGAGGGCCACATGGTCTGATACCAATCAATAGTTTTTTCCTAGTCTATATTGTAAATTTTGATGAAACTAACTTTTAAATATGTCTGGAGAAGACAGACTCTGCAAGCAAGATGCCACTGTAATTTACTTAGTGCACTGGATGGGAGAGTATTGTATGGCACAATTTGTGGTTTTCTATTTGAGAATCTCTTTTTTGTATGCTACTCTCAGAAAGTTCTTTTTTCTACCAGACCCATGCTTGAGAATAAACAAACCTGTGCTGTCAAACACAAAGGTGTATGTAATCTGAGTCTCTGGGTGTGCAATTCCTCCCCTTCTTTCTCCTTCCTCACGCTCAGAGCTGTTCCTGAAGGAGGTGAAGTCCTGCAACAAAGGGACAAAATCCTGGGCCTCTCCAGTGAGGCTCAGCGCAGCGTCCTGCAGCAGTGTCAGAAACTCATTCCTGTTCTTGAGCCTGCCCTGCACCTCCGGGCCCTCAGTGCAGTATTGGCAGGAGGTCACACTGGCCCGTGGCCAGCAACCCCAGCCACTGCCGTGAGGAGGCTTCTCAGGAGGTGCTGTGAGTGCATGCATGAGTGTGTGTGTTTCGTTTTTGAGAAGAAATCTCAATTTTAGTTACATTTATATAACTGACCTTTTTACTAACAAAAAATGTTATGTTTTGTAAACCATACTAAATATGCTTTTTGTAGGCCCCTCAGCAAAAACTCTAGGGGTCTGTGTGCTAAAGTAGAGTTCTTTGTATATACAGCAGTTTTGAACAATTGGTTGTGTTTTGTTTTTAATATAAGAGAATTACATTAAGGAAGCAAAGAGAATTATTTGCTTAGGTTATGTTTTAAATGAATATTCAGTGAGTAAAGAACCACTCAGTGGGCTTCCATTTGCTAATATTTATTAATGGGCAATGAAGAAATGCTTTAAGTTCTGTGACAAGTCCTGACTTATTTCTCAGCTGAGCCCTGACTTTAGTCCCCACCTCTCGCTCATGGACTCCTAACAAGAACAGGAAGCTCAGACCCTGGCTGGTGTGTAGCTCAGTGGATTGGGTGCTGACCTGCAAACCAAAGGGTTACAGGTTTGATTCCCAGATCAGGGCCCATGCCTGGATTGTGAGCCAGGTCCCCAGTATGGGGTGTGTGAGAGGCAGCCACACATTAATTTTTCCTTCTCTTTCTCCCTCCCTTCCCTTCTGTCTAAAAATAAATAAAAATCTTAAAAAAGAGAGAGAGAGAAGAAGAAGAACAGGGAGCTCAGATACCCAGGCCTGCAGGGCCCCTAGGGCCTGTCAGCTCTGTACCCTGTGAGAATCACCTGATCAAAGATCTGTTCTGGAGATCTGTTCTGGGTGGGTCCTGCTTGGGTTTTCAGTTGATTTTGAAAACTGCTAAAATAGATTTGAAAGGACAGAACGTCCTTTGACTTCTTTAAGTTGACATGTCTAACTTCAGTTGTTTTACTAAATGCCAGAGTTGTATAAAGAATAGATGGCTCAAGTAGCCTAATTTTGGTTTGCCAAACTTCCTTCTTGACTTAACTCTCATGTTCCACTTCAAAAAGTATAGAAAAAAACAGTCTCTATACAGATTATGTATGAATTTCATTGGGTATTTCACTTTCTCTTTCTTTCACTTTTTTGGACCCTACATTGCACAACATGGGAGACCGAAAAAAGAAGAGATGATATAGAATTTCGATGAACTTCACCTATTCCATCATTCATATTTCAGAATTTGACAACTCTGTCAAAAGGCAGTTGCTCTGGCCTTGGGTCAAGAGTAACCTCCTCAATCTTGATCATACCTAAAATGTAGGACAATCTTGCAACAGGTAAAAAAAAATCATAAAATAGAATGTTTATAAAATCCTGGAGAAGTGGCATTCTTTGTCTTTGGGCTGAAAACTAGAAAAAGAGTGGCAGCAGCTTGCCAGGGCTTTGATGGGACCATCTGTATAGTTCATTTCCAGTAGAACTGATCTTTTTCACCTGGACCTGATATTATAGTTGAAAACATTCCATTTCCATCTCCCCACTATTTGTGAATATTATTGTATCTTTCTGTACCTAATCTAGATGAAGACTAATTTAGTGCCTGTTCAGAAAATCCCTTCGATACTAGACACAGCAAAAGTGCACTTCATTGAAAATTTGGTTCACAATAGAAATCTTTCATAAAAGCCTTGAGATGCGATATTTTATCAATTGGAGATAATAACGTGCCCACACTGCTGATATTCCTCAATAAAATCAACTTACTTAGCCAGAGTAGAACAGCCTAACTACCTGGGGTTAGGGGGGAAATTGCTGTGTTATTTTTTGTTGAGGAGAGAAACAGATGTGTCCCTCACAGGACAGTGCCAGCAAGTGTGAATAAATGTCCTTTCCAGGCTACGGGACACACACAAACCAACCAGGACAAATTGCACAAACACAGTTGTCCCCAGCAATGAGCTTCACCTACATATGGTCCCTCTGTTAAAGTATCACTTGGCTAATGCTGCACTCAGGATGGATGTGGTGAAGGTGGAGTTCAAAAGACTTCAGGAGAAAAAAAAAAGAAAAACTATCTGACCTTGAAAAACCCCAAAGTTTAAATATTTGATGCAAATGTATATAGCTACAACATACATAACAATATTGCCTTTAGTTATTCCATAGGCATCAACATTTGTATTTAGAAAATACTTCATTTAATTCTGTGATTTCATAATTCATTCCTTTTATAAGTGTTAGAGTCATTCACGTTTGACTTAACGTACTTGCAAGGCTTTTGGTAACCTTTTCATTTTAACTCATCAACACCAAAATGATGTGATCTGTGTGAGTTGTGACAGCTCCCAAACTGGTGGGCTGGCTGTGGACAGCTGAAAGGTGTCATACAAGAGCGCTATGACTTGAAATGTATTTTTGTTGAATGAAGTTTTTATAAAAATATATACATATATTTACAACATTATTTGAATGATTTCTTGTAAATGCTGTGAATCTATATTTGTTTCATATCTGTATATTAAAATTAATTTGCCAAACTGGTTCTAGTAGTGCATTTGAGTATTCGAGTAAGATTTTTGTTCTAATGGAGAGAGAGGGTTAGGAGGGTTTTCTTTCTTAGGTGGGATTCACAGGGCATTTCCTACCTGGACATTGATGGAGTTCTTTTCAATAATAATTTGTCCATTAATGAGCTAGATCAAACCACTGGACAGGAATGGGAGAAAGAAGGTTCTCCATACCTGTCCACTGTGAATAGGGAATAGGGACCACTTGACTCGAAAAAAGTCCCTAAACATTGGAATAAGACTGGTAAAGCCAAAACCTGAAATGAGAAGTCCAGTTTTGTGGCAGCAGCTTTTGCATAGATGGTAGAAGGTAGACAGTAGACAACAGAACATGCCTTTCATTTCCCTGCTGCTGGCAAAGGAAAGGTCTGGCCCCTTCACTGATCTGCTAGTGGCCCTAGGCCTACTTACCCTCTGGGGTGGGGTAGATAACAATTTCCTCTTCTAATTAATGGCTCCCGAAAAGCTAGTAAATAGCCCATTGTTTGCTGTGACTGTGATCTGAAAAGGATTCTTATAAAGGTTGCCAGGCAGCTAGTCCCTGTTTTGTTTGTTTACTCTTAATAGCCACCTACTTCCCAAACTGGTTTCCCCTCCTGGAGCTGGAGGGAAAGAGGGGGCTTTGCTTGGGGATGTGGTACTTGAGGGAGCGTGGGGGCGGGGGGAGCTGAAAGTGCTGGAAACCAAAGTGTGCCTCTCAAAGGTTGGCTCCCAGGGTCAATCTGGTACCACATATAGGCAGGAGTGGGAATAGAGGGCTGTGGCCATTTCTTCTAGAAGAGTTGTGGGGAGGTGACTTAACATGAGCCACTTACCCAATGCCCTGGAAGGAGAAGCTGAAATGTATGAATCCTCCATAAGAGCTTACAACTGAAAAGAGAAGACAGACAGGCACAATTAAAATTGAGTGTGCACTGTGCAACACAGGAGTATACAAGTTATGAAGGAATTTCAGGAGACAATCCCTTCCTCTAGTATCAAGGTAAGAAGCAGCATACAGCAGGACAAGCCCCAGTGGGACCCTGCAGGATGAACCTTTCACAGCAGGCTGGTGTGTTGCTGGCCAGAGGTGGTACAAACTGTGTGAGACCAACTTGTTGGAAGATGGACTGCAGAAGACCTGTGGACCTCAATGAGACACTGGGATTTTGTTCTGTAGGCAAAGACTTTGAAAAAAGGAATGTTGTAGCCAAACATGCTTAGGCACTCATGCCAGTGACAGAGAAAAGTGTGGGTTGAAAACCAGAGGCAGGGAGGTGATTTAGGAGAGGGTACCCAGTGAAGAGACCATGGGAAAGGAGAGGAGGCGGGATGGGAAGGATGCTCAGTGGCAACGGCAGGTCTCAGCCAGCCACTACATGTTGGGAGGAGATGGTGGTTTCCAAGTTCTTCCTTGGGGTGACCGGTGGGTGCTAGTGCCATACATAGATGTAGAAAATACTGCATGGAAGAGTAATACTCCTGGACAGGAGTTCCATGTTTGGGTTTATGGCAAGGCTGTTCAGTGGGTAGTGAGACAAACAGAGTGAAGCCCAGGAAGGAGGCCAGGGCTGGCAATGGAGATTGCAGAAGGCACTGCCAGCAAAAGTAAACCATGGGAGTGGAGCTGAGCCACATAGCAGGCAGCAGGAGGAACACCCTGAAGAATGCACAGGCGGAGGAAGAGAAGGAAGAAGGAAGAGATCTGGGGTGGACAGGTGGGTATGGGGGGAGGTTGGGTAGGGGAGGGACAGCCAAAGCAGAGGGGGAAGGAAGTGGCTACAGGGCAAAGGCTGCTGACGTTCTGCTGGGAAAGGACTGAGGGAGCGGCTGGATTTAGCGATCAAGAGGGCAAGGCAACTGCGGGTGTGCAGGTGGTGGAAGAGAAACTGGCTTAATTTCTGACCTAACTCCTGCCACTGCCCTGCCCATCATACAGACGAGACTTGGGGCAGTGTTATGGCAGTATAAATGGGACTGGGCCTACACTTCATACCCTGCAACCCAACTTGGTTCTCAGCACCTCTGAGAAACAACGTTGGGTACATTCGTCCTCTGGATGCCATTTTTAAGTTAGGGGTCAATGTTAGTAGACACAGATTGGGAAAAGATAAGAATCAGTATTACATGGCATTGAAAAGTTCCACCACATTTTTCTCAGTGGCAGGTCCAGGGGTTATGTGTGTGCAAGAAAGAGAGAGTAGGGGAGAGAGAAGGCAATGGCATGAAATGCTTATGTACACAGATGTCTAAAATTAAATAAATTACAGAGAATGTTGAAAGACCTAGTAAATGGTATCAGCTCTAATGGTCTGGATTCCAAATGAGCCCTGGCATGGTGTTTTCAGTTTTGTCCTCTTGCCCTCGAATGACCCAAGTTCGGCAGAGAGGCTGCTGAAAGGCACAAACATCACTTTATGGAAAGAAGTCTGCCACCTGCCTTGGGGATTTCCTCCAGACTCCACTTGAACGTGACCTCGCTTTCTTTAATTTCATTAAAAGGGACCAGGGGGAAAGGAGCTAAGTTTTGTAAACTCCGTGGAGCTGGTGGAGTGTGCTACCTGACTCAAGAGTGGCTGCAAGTTTGAGACTGCTCTGCCAAGGCATCTTTGCCTCTGTTCCCACCCCTTCCTGCTGTTTTGCAGATATATCCACTGGGGAATTGTGTATATCAGGAAGCAGTGATTTTATTTAGTTTGCCTTTGGGTCCTGGTTCGCCTCAGTACCTGGGTGCAGCCCGCAGCCCTGGGGGCGGGTAAGTACATTAAGAAACTATTTCTTTAAATTCAATTTAAGGCATCAAAGTCCTAAATCTGTTCTTTAATCATCAGTGTGTGACAATCCTGCTTAATTATTTGCAAAGTTAAGCAGATGTTTGCAGAGTTTTTGGTTAGAAAAGGAGTAAGCCAATTCCAAAATTAATTTTTGAGGACTAGGCTAAACAGGAGATAAAAGCAGATTTTGAAATTCTGCCAGAACTCTGCAAATGGGCTGGGAGGAGGCGTGAAATCACAGAACTATAGAATGAGCAGATTTTTCTAGAGAGCTATCTAGAGAAGCTTGCAGATTATTTTGTACAAATTTTAATTGTATGTTTTTATACTTATGGCTATACTAATTTGCACTGTAATTTTTAAAAAAGCCCCTACACGTATGTTGAAGAAGAGATACCTAAAGTGTACAACATATAGAGCACATGGAAGAAAATGTATTCAATTAAGGCAATTGAGAGATTTTTAGATTCTTAAACTAATGTTCAGGGTCTAATTCATGCCCTGAGCAAAGAAGTAGGGGTTCAGAGGTTCAGAGACCATGAAGAATGCTCAGTGTGGTTCTCTGGCAAGTCTTTATAAAATCTTAGTATTGAGGGAAGTAAGAATCTTGAAGAATGGAAACCCTTAACCTTGGCCATAAATTAGGGGCATCATGTCCTTGGGGGGCTGAGTAACCTTTTATCAAGAAATTCAGTAGTGAAGAAGAATTACAGGTTAAGCACAGAAGAAACACCCAGAAATAAGAATTTAACTAAGTAAGAACCTATTTTGGGACTAGAAAACAGTAACTCCAGGGTCACTTGCAGTCTGTCCCTTTCTCCCTAACCACATCAGTATATCAATCGTATGAGATCACAGAAGCTTCCCAGGGTCTCTGAAATATTCACACTGATTGTTTTGATCTGTTCGACACAGCGATGATTGATGGTTTTTAATATTGGGTTGGTCAATAAGTCTGTACGGAGTTTCCATGAAAGACACGTTTTTCATTTCACCAATAACTTCACTGATTTGGATATTTTGAGTATGTCAGCTGTCTCCCACATGGTGTGATGGTGATTGTTCTCAATGTCTTCATTTGATTGCTGTCAACTTCAACTGGTCAATGCAACCATCTGGAGCATCATCCAGTGAGAACTCACCAGCACAAAACTTCGCAAAACACTTTTGACATGTTCAATCAGTCATAGCATCTTCTCTATACCCTGCATAAAACTTTTTATGCATTTCAGTTGTGTTTTTACCTTTCTTGAAATAATAAAGTATAATAATGTGCCAAAAATATTGCATATTTTCTTCCATCTTCAATATTAAAATGGCTACACAAAAATTCACCAATTTTGCTAAGTTTTTTTAAAAGCACGCTGATGTGACAACTGTCATAGTACAATCTAACAAAATTGTTTAGAATAAAATTACAGACAACTAAGCACTACTAGAACCATCTTACAGAAAAAAACTTGAACAAACTTTTTGGCCAACCCAGTATGTCACCTGAAGGGTTGTGCGCTCTGACTACTGGGCTAACTGACTGTGGGAGTCCACAACCCTTCCTCACTTTGATGAGTGACCACACTCCCCACAGCAGCAATCTTGCATGAGTTAAGATGTAGACTTAGCTGTGTATGAGAGACCCCATGTAATGGTAGCTTAGTTAATAAAGTAATAGTGCATTTCTCATGTCAAAGGTGGCCTCATTGGACAGGTCTGGTCTGTGGAGTCATCAGAGGCCAGGACTTTTGTGTCTCCAAAGCATTGCTCTCCTTTGAGGAGTCCAAGGTGGCTGCCATCGCATGTGCACCCCAGCCACAGGAAGGTGGGAGGGGCAAGGAAGGACACTCCCTTTCCAATTAAGGCCCTAAAGCTGCATACATTCCATTTGCGCGCTTCTCACTGGCCAAAATCTAGTTTCACAGCAACATCTACGCTGCAAGGGAGGCTGAGAACTACATTTTATTGTGGGCAGCCACGTGCCAGCTAAAATTTCTGTTACCACGTAAGAAGGTGAGAAGGGATGTGAGAGAAACTAGCAATCCTCACCAGAGCATTGACAAGGATTAGATTTAATAGCCAGTCACCTCCCCAAGTGATGACCTGCCCACAGTTAGAACCAGAGCAACCTTCCTTCCCTCCTTCTTTCCTTCCTTTCTTCCTTCCTGCCTTCCTTCCTGCCTTCTACTCATTCATTTATTCATTCAGTCATTCAACAAATATTTGACTGTGACATACTGAAAATAAGAAAGTGAAAAGATACCGTCTCCATCTTCAAAAAGCTATACTCTCATTTGGTGACTGATAAGTGACCCTTAGCTGGTGCAGTGTGGAGAAGAGACAGTGTGAAGAACAGACCATCAGGGGTGGAGGTGGCAGTGATCAGGATGGGAGGAGGGGAAGGGAGGGAGGGGAAAATGGGATGGACGGTGGCCTTAGCTCTAATGCATTTTGTAGAAATACCAGACAATAAAAGTCAAGCATGGGAACTGGTTAAACTCGCAAAACAGGATCCAACCCATGGTTTTGTGAGAGTGCAAATGTAATTGTGTTATTTTCTGAAGTAATACATTGATACAAATTCCATTGCATGCCTCCTGTAAACCCTTATGTTCCCCTTCTACATTTTCTTGTTAGAGATGCTGTGACAAGTTGTTTCACTGCTTGTTTGGAAGACAAATACATTCAATTATTCAAAACCAGTTGTTGAAGGTTGTCTACAGGCTAGGCAAGCTAGCTACAATCTCTGCCTATGCAAAAATGAGTGAACGAATTCAAAAAGAATAAATGCTTGTTTTTGTCTTAGCTCTTCTCTAGATGGCAAACAAAATGAAGTTTATTAAAATTTGACACCTTTATTAACTTGCAGATTTTTTATTATTTTCACAATTGTAACACATTTTGAAAAACATTTAAAAGGAAAAAAATACAGGGTCCAGCAGAAGTAAAGCCTGCTTGAGTGTGGTTGGTAGGGTAATAATATGGGTGTAATAACTTATAGCGTTAATTTGAACATTTCACCTAAAATGCCGTATGGTGTACTTGAGTGTAATATTGTCATGTTACAGAATTACATGCTTACGATTTTGCAGTAAAAGATTTTGTAATTAAAAAGGGGCGTTATTTGTGCTGGACCCCTATATAAACCCCTGAGAGAGGTTGGTCTGTACAGTTTAGACCTGATTACTACCAGTCCCTTCTTCTGAGTTAAAAAAAAGAGGCTGATGTAAATTACTTATGGAATTTAGCTCTAAGAAAAATCAACTCAATTTCCTGAAATGGCATACATTTTTCACTTTAAAGGAAAACATCTGTATTTCCTTTCCCAAAAGTACTCTATTTGCTTCAAGCCCTGTGACATTTACAAGCTTCCAGAAGATAGTGATATAATTGTTTTGCATGACAGTCTATCTGAGATACATATATATATATATATAAAATTTTTATTTTATTTACATATATGGGTATAATGATATATACAAAAATCATATTTAAATGATATATATAAATCATTATATATAAATCTCTCAGAGAGAGAGAGAGAGAGAGAAATGTTTATAGACACAGTAAAAAAGCATTTTTTCAAAAGGAAAAATGCCATAATCCTACAATTCCAAAGCACCATGTTCAATGGGATCTATTAGCTTCTAGTTTTTGTCGATATGCATGTATGATTACACAGGCACATTCATAGTGTGCATGGCATTTTAGTCTACTTTGAAAAAATTCAGCACCACATATATCTTTTACACATTTCTACATGACCTTCATAATCATTTCAGTGGTTTATAGTATTGCACTTTCTTAACCACTTATTGTTAAACATCATGTAGTATGCACTTTTTCACTACTGTAGATAATGCTGTCATTAATACCTTTGGTGCACAAACGTTGGGCTACTGAGAGGAATTTGGGGGATAAGACCACTGGGCCTTAGACACAGATGTCCTTTCTCTTTAACTTTCTGAATGGCTGTGCAGACTTCCATGCCTTGGGCAGAGGCTCTAGCTTCTGACCTGTTGCCCTGGCCTTAAGTTATTATTTGGTAAAATCCTGGCTATCTGCCATGATAGATCCATTCCACTCAACATTGAGTACTGGGAATACAAGAATGAGGAGAACACAGTCAGATGGGAGCCAGATCTTTTGTTATACAATTACATACACAAATGTAGCCCCCATCCCCACTATGGTGCTGTGACGGAGAGGAGCAGGGTGTGACAGGCCCCTTCCAGGGCTGATATGACTTGGTCAGGTGATCCTACACATCCCGACTGTTCACACTGTCATGGGGTCTTGCCCACATTCTTCTCTTTGTCTAGAACATTCCCTCAGATCTCAGCCCCCACCTCATCAACCAGTGTTATCCTAGCTTCTGCTGAGATTGAAGGAGTGACTTGAAAGTGTGCCTCCGAACTGTGGGGCCAGAGTGCATGAGCTGCACCCTTCCCACAGGGGCCTCCTATGAAAACCAAACCTTAAGGGACACATCTATTCACAATGGGACCCCTTGGGACACTTTAATATTTTAAAATTTAATTGAATTTCATTGTGCTAAAATACACATAAAACTTACCATTTTAATCACTTTTAAGCATCTGGTTCAGTGGCATTAAGTACATTCACACTGATGTGTAACTTAGCATAATGTCTTCAGGGTTTATCCATGTTGTGGCACGTGTCACAATTTCCTTCCTCTTTAAGGCTAAATAATATCCCTTGCCACTGATATGCTGCATTTTGTTTATATGTTTATCTGTCAGTAGACACGAGTTGCCTTCACCTTTTGACTGTCATTGAGCAATGCTGGTATGAACATGGGTATGGAACTATCTGATAGAGACCCTGCTTTCAATTTTTTTTGCAAATATACTCAGAAGCAGATTGCTGGATCAAATGCTAATTCTATGTTTGCTTTACTGTTTATAATGTGGTGTCATGCACATGGTGATCAAATTTGTTTTTTTTACAGCAGCACTGGGAGGTAAGTAAGCATTAGGATGTTCTGTGGCTCTGAAATCTGGTTTGCCCAAAGTGAAATGGTAAATGGAACTGTCCAAGCTTGGAACTTGGTTCTGTCTGATTGCTCACCATTAAAAGTGGTCCCAATCACATGCACCCTTTTCAATGTCTTTCTGACTGTAAGCAGCTTCGTCAACTACTAGCTTCTACGCTAACCACTCTGACCAGGTGTCACTGCAGCTGGGTCCATTTCCCATGGTAAGTATGGAGGCTATGTCCATGGCCCCAGAGACAAAGGTTTCTCCTTTTGGCTTGTGTTTCCCTCTTTCTTCAGCTCTGTCACCTGAACCATGAGGATCTGGTGGCTCCTGTTTGCCACTGGCGTTGGCATAGGGAATGTGAACTCACAGGATGTGTGCCGGCAAGGGCACCCTGGTGTCCCTGGGAATCCTGGTCACAATGGTTTGCCTGGAAGAGATGGACGAGATGGAGCAAAGGGTGACAAAGGGGATGCAGGTACTTACCACTTGGTGGCCTTTAGCTACTGTTCCATTTATTCCTCCTTTTTCCTCATTCGTTCATTCATCACCTGTGTGGTCATCACCTACTCACTCATTCACCCACTGTTCAGCAAACACTATTGAAGGCCTGCTCCATGCCAGAATCTGGGCTAACATTCAGAATCTGAATGCTGACATTCAGTACAGGGCAAGACCAACAGGAACTCTATCCTCATGGACTTTCTCATCTCATGGGGAAACCCCGTTGTTAGCTATCATCTCTGCTACTACAGGACCATTTTCAGGAGTATTTGATCGCTTAGCTCTTCCTGCCTCAGGTGACAGGTATGATGGATCTTCGGCACATGGGGCTTTGAGAAAGACCCAGTTGCTAAGTATTTGGCCGAGAGCACCCAGCTGCAGTGCAGGTGAAGAGTCAATGCCTTGCCATGCTCTCAGGCAGATGACACATAGTGACAGAGAATACAAAAATGGACATACAGCTGCTACTCAGGGATCTATGCCACGTGTTGGAACCTACCACAGGTCTGGGGGATTTGGGGACAGGATCCAGACCCAGGAAAGGAGGTTTGCAAAAGCCAGGATGTGGGAGTGGTTTTTTTTTTCTTTTAATAATTGTATTTATTTATTTTTAGGGAGGGGAGAAGGGAGGGAGAAAAAGACAGAGAGAAACATTGATGTGAGAGATAAACATTGATCAGTTGCCTCTTGTACATACCTCAACCAGGGACTGAAACTGCACCCCAGGCATGTGCACTGACCAGGGAATCAAACCAGCAGTCTTTAGCTTTGCAGAATGATGCTCAACAACTAAGCCATATAGGTCAGGGTGGGAGTGGTTTTCATAACACCAACTGATAGGCTTAGGGTTGTTTATTTAAAAAATATTTTATTGTATTTTTTTCCTTTACCATTTAGTCCCTTTATACCCCCTACTCCTGCCCCAACAGTCACCACACTCTTGTCCACATCCATGAGTACTTTTTCCTTTTTGCTTAATCCGTCTACCCTCTACTGTCTCGCCCCCTTTAGCTATCATTCTGTTCTCCATCTATGAGTCTGTCTCTAGTTTGCATGTTAGTTCATTTTGTTCATTAGATTCCACATATGAATGAAATCATATGATATTTGTTTTTCTGTGACTGGCTTATTTCACTTAGCGTAATGTTCTCTAGGTCCATCCATGCTGTCACAAAGAGTAACAGTTCTTCTTTTTTATGGCTGAGTAGTATTCTGTTGTATAATTGTTCAATAGTTGTTTTATCTACCCATCTACTGATGGACACTTGGGCTGCTTCCATATCTTGGCTATTGTAAATAATGCTGCAGTGAACATAGGGCTTCTTATGTTCTTTTGAATTAGTGTTTTGAGTTCCTTTGACTATATTCCCAGAAGTAAAATTGCTGGGTGAAAAGGCAGATCCATTTTGAATTTTTTGAGGTATCTCTATACTGCTTTCCACAGTGGGTGCACCACCAGTCTGCATTCCCACCAGCAGGGCAAAAGGGCTCCCCTTTCTCCACATCCTCACCAGCACTTGCTGTTTGTTGATTTATTGATGATGGCCATTCTGACAGGTGTGAGATGATATCTCACTGTGGTTTTAATTTGCATTTTTCTGATAATTAGTGAAGTTGAGCATTTTTTCATATGTCTACTGGCCATGTGTATGTCCTCTTTGGAGAAGTGTCTATTCAGGTCCTTTGCTCAAATTTTTAATTGGGTTGTTTGTTTGTTTGTTTTTGGTGTTGAGTTTTATAAGTTCTTTATAAATGTTGGATATTAACTGATTATCAGATGTATTGGGAAATATCTCCTATTCTGTGGGTTGTCTTTTTATTGTGCTGATGTTTTACTTTGCTATGTAAAAACTTTTTAGTTTGATGTAGTCCCATTTGTTTATTTTTTTCTTTTGTTTCCCTTCCCTGATGAGATATACCTGATAAAATATTGCTACTAGTTATGTAAAAGAAACTTGAAAAAGAACAACAAACAAAGCCCAAAGTGAGTAAATAGAAGGAAAGAATAAAGATCAGAGAAGAAATAAATGAAATAGAGTCTAAAAAAATGATACAAAAGATCAATGAATCCAAGAAATGGTTCTTTGAAAAGATAAACAAGATTGACAAACCTTTAACCAGATTCATCAAGAAAAAAAAAGAGAGCAGACCCAATAAATAAAATCACAAAGTGAAAGAAAAGAGATAACAACTGGCACCAAAGAAATACAAAGGATTATAAGAAAATATTATGCCAACAAACTAGACAATCTGGATGAAATGGATAAATTCCTAGGAACATACAATCTTTCAAAACTAAATCAGGAAGAATCAGGGAATATGAATAGACAGATCACACTTAGTGAAACTGAAGCAGTAATAAAAAAATCCCAATAACAAAAGAAGCCCTGGACCAGTTGTCTTCACAGGTGAATTTTATCAAGCTTGTTTTTTGTTTTTGTTTTTGTTTTTAGATTTTATTTATTTATTTTTAGAGATGGGAAGGGAGGAAGAAAGAGAAAGAGAAACATCAATATGTGGTTGCCTCTCACACACCCCCTACTGGGGACCTGGCCTGCAACCCAGGCATGTGCCCTGACTGGGAATCAAACTGGCAACTCTTTGATTCTCAGGCCAGCACTCAATCCACAGAACCACACCAGCCAGGACAGGCTTGGTTTTTGAAAGGGGTTCTTGAGCCCTGGTTTCACCATCAGCATAATGATCCCTTTGGGTTCAGGAAGAAGACATCAAAAATTCTACTGACATTTTCAAAGATAAATTTAAGTTAAGAAAAAAATGAACTTTTAAAATATTTAATACAGGTATATATTATTTTGTTGTGCTTCACAGATGTGCTTTTGACCAACTGAAGGAAAGATCCTCCACCAGCAAAATAACACCTTGCTTTATTGTGATACTCACTTTATCACAGTGGTCTGAAACTGAACTGGTAAAATCTCGGAGGGATGCCTGTATGTGAATTGGTATGGGTGGCCCCAGTGGGTCCATTTGCAGAGGCACATGTGTCAGTCAAGGACTAAAATTGTCCTATGGGAAGAGTGGGATCCCCACAGTTCAAACAGGTGGGCTGGGAGCCCTCACACTGTCATCCACTGCCTTCAGCATAAGGTGGTGTGTGCAGTTGTGTGTGCCCAGCCAGGGGATTTTCACACTATCCTATCAAACCATTGCAAACAGACAGGCGCCTAAACTACTCCTGTCAAGAAAGTGAAGCTCGATAGTGGACTTGACAAGACAAGTATTAAAGACTCACACAAAAGTAGCAGCACTGTCGTTTCTAGTCTCAGTGTGAACTCTGCAATAGCACATTACCAGGGAAAAATAATGACACACTAGTCAGATCTGACAAGAAAGTCTGTCAAAACCTAGAAATTAGCAAGACTAAGGGTACATGAGTTTACATTTACATTCATTAGTGTGAACCTCATCCTAACTGTAAACTACACCATGAGATACCAGTTACGAATAGGAAGAACCTCAATCAATAAGAGGTCTCAGGACTCTGCGTGCCATGTGAACACACCACACTGCCATTTTTTCTCAGCCATTCATTCAGCATTGCACTAGAAAAACCTCCAAACTTAATGATAAACTTTTAGAAGGCTCTTCTGATACTTATTAACCATATCAGATTATATATTCCTATGTCTATATTAAAATGATTGAAATAATACTCAGAAGGCAGTGTCAGGATGAACAAATTTAATTATTTGCCAGGAAATGCTGTGGGAATATGGATTTTTAAAAAGCCTTTGTTAGGTTTGGAAAAATAAGTATTAGAACAAATACCTAGTACAGGAAGTCTACTGTGCAGATGAGTGAACATCCAGGTGTTTCTCTTTCCCTCTGCATGGTATTGGGTGGTCTTGGGCATTATTGGGTGGGCTGCATGAAGCAGACAGGCATTAGGAAGCAAGGCCATTTCCTTTCTACTGTTCCCCCGCAAACCTGCTCAGTGGGATCTCCTACCTGATTGTCTCTCCAGGAAGTCTACATCACTTTTAGGCATTAGACCTGTCTCATTTCTGGGTTGTAAAGTACCCCAGTACTAGTTCATGGCAACACCTCAACCTTAATGAAATCCTTTATTCTCCTCTCCCACTGGTACCATAGAGTGTGTGTGTGTGTGTGTGTGTGTGTGTGTGTGTGTGTGTGTGTGTCCGTTCAGGCTACATCCCTGTCTTCCTGATTCTTCCACCTTTCACTTCCATTCTTCTTTCTCACTGCAAGGACTGCTTTGACTCCATAGATGGGGCTAAGTAGGGAAGAAGAGGTGTAAAAAGATATTACATATTTGGTGCTATTGAAATCTGGCATTGGTGCCCTCCGAGGAAGATATGACTCAATGCTGGCTTTTCCTTTATGAGATTTTTTGGGTTCTTTGTGGACCCCCTTCTGCACCATTTCTTAAAATGGGCAATGTACTCATTGCCTTACTGCATCTGAAACTCCCCCAGTCTCTTTACATACTCTCTTGCTGTTGGGGTCCCTTTGCTTGACAGTGGTTTTTGGGAAGTTAGCCCTTATAAAACATCTCAAGCCTAGCTTCTCTGGATACACCTACCCAGCCTGCCCAGCTTGGGACCTGTGCCCTGCCAGACTCTGAAAGTAGTGGTCCTTCCCCATGCCACTGTCTGCTTTGCTCTACCATTTAGGCGGCTTCATATGGTGGCTTCTCCATCTCCTTCTTCTTTATCTTTTTCTTCTCCTTCTTCTTTTCCTTCTCCTTCTTCCTTTTCTTCTTCTTCCTTTTGCTCTTCCAAAATATTTTTAAAGATTTCATTTATTAATTTTTAGAGAGAGGGAGAGGAACATTGGTGTGAGAGAGAAACATCAATTAGTTGCCTCTTGTACATGCCCCAACTGAGGACGAAACCCACAACCCAGGTACAGGCATTGACCGGGAATCAAAACTGCAGCCTTTCACTTTGAGGGACAATGCCCAACCAACTGAGCCCTAGTGGTCAGGGT